ATCAATTTGAGCGACACCACACCCGTCAATATTTGCTAAGTGTTCTAGATAGAATCTGAGATAGATTGTCGATAAGACATCTTCTTACCAAGAAGAAGCTCACATAAAAAACCAATGTCTATATGGAAAACTGGGGATAAAACTAGTAATTAAGAAGGTGATAAGCGCGGCACTTCATGGGCCAGCTTCGCCTCTTTTCGCCCGGATTTCCCAATAGACTGCTCAAGTTCTCTCTAAGATGTCCCGTTTCTGAATAGAGGTTTGTGGCCCTATCGGCCGAAGTAGGAAGCTCAACGTCAAGAGAAAAGAGAGTGATGGCTCCGATGTGAGCTAGAGGAATGTGACATGAGGATCGGTGGCGATCTCTTCAAGAATGAGTGCCACTTGGGAGTCGCACTCAGTCGCTCCTGGAGGCACTTTCACCGTAATCGGAAGCGGTCGAACAACGTCCGGCATTGTTGTGTATAGACTCGCAGGACGTCTTCGGCGGACATCGTTCGCCGCTAGTAAATCCGGACAGTTGTTCTCGGTGGTTTCCGGAAGAGAGTGCTTCTTGCCTGAAATAGACGAAATGGTCCTACGGGATCTAATTTGAGCCTAATGAATGATCCCGAGAGAACTTAGAGATGTGTCCCAAAAATTGCGCACGATTGGAGGATGCAAGGAATAACAAAGAAGGGTTCAGGTATCATGCGCTATATATGGGACACAACAAACAAGTAACCAAAAAGCCGTCCATTCTTACCGATCTCCGTTTTCACGGGTACACAATTGTTCTCGCTAAGCTTCTCCATACATGGAAGGGGAGGGAGCGGGTGTATCGTTGATGCTTGCGTACTGCCTCGCGAATTCTCCTCGGCTGAAAATCTATGAATCACCTCAGGGCACTGCACAACGTCACCGCAAAGTACTGCACGCTTCTCCAACCAATCAATACTGTACCAAGTTCATGCCAAGCAAAGGCATATTTATCGATTGGTTAGTGAACCGAGAGACAAGGGGTGGGATAGAAATGCATGGAAAAGTTTGTCATGACAAAACCACCCACATCCGGGTCGATATGAGGGATTGGATGAGGTTGACATGATAGGTTTGTAGGTAGGAGATCCGTCTTGATTGCACGTCAATTGACTGAAAACATCACTTCACATGAGGGATGGATGGAGAAAAACAAACAAAAAAGGAAAACAAAAACAAATAAACTGTCAAAATAAATAAATCTTGCAATGGGATACGAAGAGCAGGGAAGGGAAGGTCATGTGGGCAAAAAAAGGAATGTTAAAAACCGTGCACAACGGGCGGAAATTCTGTGAACGCCGGGGGGGCGTTCTTGCGACGGGAGACCGGATGGATCATTCTCGGCAGCTTCGGATATCGATATCATAAATGTCTATAATCTTTTTCTTATGCACGCTGTCTTGTAGACTCTGGTCTCGGCGATAATCGCCTCAAGTAGGGCTATCGCATCCTTCCCTATTGCTTTCAATTGAAGACAAATTCCGCGATGGTCGCATGGGCGGAGACTCGAGCCCCTGTGCAACCATTACTGCTATGCTCTTTCCTTTGAGGCGATGAAGATGATGGGAACGCCATCAAGAAACACACGCATATTATGGGTCTCCACCGATTCGTTTATCGCGGAATGTGTCCTTAGCATCAGTAATAGTTTCGTGTTGTGGGAGCATTCCTTTAGGTCAACTGAGGTTTAGAACTTTTGCTGCACATAAAACCTGTGGCAGAGGGGTCAGAATCAATAAAAGGGTACAGTATACTTTGCTTTTAGCTTTTTTTTTTGCTTGTATAGTTTTTGTTCTCAGGTTGTTGAGCCTTTCCCCACAGAAATTGCATGAAGTGGTCAATCTTCGTGAGACAACCGTTCCCATTTTTACTCGGTTATGGCAAGGGTCACCAGGCATATCACATGTCACGCCGAACACTTCCACGGATTCGTGCAGTCGTACGGTTTAGATCGTGCACACAAAACAATGACATGGACACCAATATTGGTTGATAATTAACTTTTGTACAGGGGTTTTCACGAAGGGAATCGCGCTCGATAACTCACCTCATGAACCGCATCTGTTGATTCACTAGCCGTCCGACAGCCGATTGCCTCGTTCTGACATTCTTATACGGTTGGAATAATACAATATACACCTTAAAGTGGTAAGTATGGAAATAACTGAATCAGCAAATAAGTAGACAAACATGCAATATAGTGAGTTGAAGAGTAATTGCAAGAAAAGGAGTGGATCCTAAAGGGAAAGGCGCAAAGCAATGAGCCCTTAGCAGTCCACACTCACAGTGGTTCTTCTCTATACTAATAGCGCTTTCAAGGCTGCAGTAGCGATTTGAGGAGGGGGGGGGGGAGAAAGATGAACGATGTTCCTCATAAACAGACATCTAGAAAACTGAACAATTCCCCAGAGCCAGGAGTAATTGTTTTATCGATTACCCACCCCCTCCCCCATTCATTTTAGTTGTTTATTCGTTATTAATTCCCATTTTTGTGGTGGACAAATTGAAAGTTGCCATCTTCTTATCCCAGGATCCTCCAACTGTCTCACAGCTATGGATGGCTTCGCCTTGGCTTCTGCCTATCTCCGGATCTTTCTCAATGCGCAGTCGATCATCACACCTATAGCCCGACTCTATCGGCAAGCTCTACCTATTTTGAACGAGTTTCTGTCTTCAAAAAGCAAATCACTCCCTAATAATAGCACATTCTCTCCAGAACAGTAGAACCAAGCGGGTCAGCAAAAAGGTAGTTCCGAGGGTTCACGCTCGAACTAGCGGGTAGGAGTGGAACTGAGAGGCCGGGAGGGTCAATTCCCTGCTGTATGATGTACATAGCATCAAGCCTGTACGTGACTTTGCGACTAGGTGAACAAATTAGCTAGTCGACTCGACACATTGCAACACTTCCTCGTTGAATCAACCAGGGCCTGGTGCGAATGCCGCGCACGTGACCTGACTTCAACGCCCACTTCGTCGAGCTCGCGCCAGGATGAATGCTATCTCCCACGCCCACAAAGCATCCTTCTAGGCAAAGAGCGCAAAAAGCAATGAAACGTCAAGATGAACTAC